CCGGGAACTTTATGTTCGTGATCGTTGATCGAGTATGCGTCATAGGTACGAATGAAAGAACCCGGAATTAATTGGCCTCTGTCGGTCGGGTAAGGAAGCGAATCACATCAAGACGTGAGTGTGAGCATGATTCATTGCATGAGTGGAGTCAGTCTAAGCCCACAATAACCCAATGAGTAAATTCCATGGAGGTCGAGTTTCTCTGGAATAAAAGCGATTACTTTGAATCAAATGCGATTGCTTACGTAGTTCTGACATTGAAATGCACACTTGACAAGATACTTAACAGTGGTCAAATCAAATTCGAATCTATTCACTAGCTAACAGAAATCATATTTTTCTCTGTCATTCCTTGGCTGATTAATGCATTAATACATCCACAATGCCAGTGACAAAAATCTGTCACCTGCGGCTTCTCCCTTCGCTACTCGGCTTCATCGCATAGGTTCTGATCTTCATTGTATCATTGCTCAACCCGTCGCAACCTTTCACGCACTGATTACACCTGTGCGATCATTTATATTTTGGTGAATGAGATAGGTGGTGATATGAGTGAGTTACAGTTATCCATGATCCCACAAGCGATGATAACTCTGTACCGGGTCCTCCATGTAGTATTAAGTAGAGGTCGGCAAAATATTCTACCCACGGTTGTCTTAATACTGAATGTCAAATAAGAGAAAAGGTTCAGTCGCACTGCAGATGCCACTTTGCAGTATACTTCCCGTATGTGTTACCAAGACAGGTTGTGCAAATGAGCTACCTATAGTAAAGGCGGAAAGCAGTGACATTTTTTCTACTCTGAACTGAGCTTGACGTTTGTGTAGGCATTTCACATTATTACTCAACTTCTCTGTAGTCACTGGCGTCTTCCGGATTATATTCATTCCGCTTTGTAGAAAATAGTGCATTTTTTCACAGATAAACTGGCCGGTTTTATTTTAGCGGATTAAGACGATTGATTTTTTCTCAGCGATATGTTTCCAGTCTAGTAAATCACTGAGTATGGCACGAACAGATCATTAGTTATTCGCTATGGTGACCAAGTGGTTGGGTCATCAACTTGTGACCTGGGAGCCCCGGGTTCGAACCGCTCCACCGCCGCCCGTCTTCTCAGGCAGTCTTTGTATGGCTGCGACCCCTCTTCTTGAATGTTGATTGTACATTTTATATTCAATAAATAAAAGAGGAAGTAAAAAGACATTTATTTATTATTGTTATCTACGTCATATCAGTTGGAACAAAGTGGAATCTTTACTGTTACCACGGCCATAAAAGTGATCGACCTACGTGACACATTTTACATTCTCCCCATTTCCTCATTTCCTCCTTTTTCTCACATTTTCACACTTGCTTACCTCAAGAATACTCGTTCGCTCCATACCGCTTGAGCTAAACTATGTAAACACCGATAATCAAAATACGTCCACGACAAATTGAATAGGAACCACGAACTAGGGTACCCTTGAAGAACGCCGCTGCTGGTGACGAACCGCCTACTAGTTCGTTGTAGTCCCTCACTCGATCTGAGGTAAGTATAGCGACTTCAGTAAGTTAGAGTACTTCTGGGGCATTCCTTTTCGAAGAACGGAACCCATCTGAGATCCGTGACCAACTCATTCGAAGACTCTTTTAAGGTCAGTGTCATTTGACCACAATCAAAAATATTCATCAAATACCAGAAACAATGAACTTGTTGTATAATGAAGAGAAGAGGAAATGTAATATAACGACGTATCTTTGAGTCATTTCTTTCTAGGTATGTTCAACACTAACAATGGTACGAGGCTCGTAGACATGAGATTATAGAGATTGATGAAACCATTTTCAATCTACATTGTTCAAGAAATTTTGGCTGCTTTCTTCGCTATTCAACTTTGTCGCATAGGTTCTTATCCTTATTGAAGGATGCCTCATCAGTGTCTCGCCTTTTCACAGCCAGATTGCATTTGAGCGGTCCTTATAGTTTAGTGGTTTAGACAGATGATGATAGAAATGTGTTATATTTGTCTATGATCCCACAAACGATGTACTGGGTGCTCCATGGGGTATTAAGTTGAGGTAAATAAAGTATTCTACCCACGGCTGCCTTAATATTGAAGGGCGACTTTACCCCGCGTGAGGAAAAGTGAAATCAGATTTCCCCCTTTGGTTGTATCAATCACTACAATTTTAACAGGAATGCTCAAAAAGTACTATAATCTGCTCTCCACACGTCTACCCATCCCGTGAAATTCTCTGGCACTTCATCGTTTCACAACAGACAAAGTTGTGTTAATTGTTATTCACAAAAATATTGAAATAATTAACAACTATTCACATCCCTCACCTGTAGGTCTTATAAAGTGTACGTCTTTCTGTTCCACCCAATCGCAACTGCGTGTTTGCTCGCCTAGTGGCCTTCGGCGGTGCCTGATAATTCTCGGTATCTTAGAAACTCGGAATGCATCGCTTCTGAACCCAAACTACTCATGCCCTAAATCATTTTTTGTTATGCTTTCTACAATCCTCATGTAATTGCACTTGTCTCATCGGTTCTACTTTGGCCATGAAGCTGCCGACTTTTCACCTCTCGAGGTGCGTAAGGCATATACTTGACTTAATTTGAGTTGACTAAAATCAATGAAGCAATTCAATTGTCATAAATCGAGGCAGATGGTCGTAGACAAGATAAATCAAGTTATTTAATAATTGCAATTACAGAGTTGATTTGTTGAACAAAAGTGCATGAAAGAACTGCAAACAACGGTACCGTTTCCTGTGCTTGGTGAACCAAAAATATTTGACTCTCCGTAACTGACGTCTCCCATTCTCTGTATTTCTACTTTTTAGTGCGTTGCATCCATGGGAACCACAAACACGTGCGAATTTGAAAATCTAGTTGACCTGGGTGAAGTGTGTGAGTAATGGTTGAACTCAAATTGCATTTGCTTATTTCTGCATCTTGCTATAGAATTTTTTACCGTTGTGCGAGTCATTTTATACTTTGCATCCTATTTGGTTCTGTCTGAGCTCGTCGTGCACCGTACAGGGTAGGATATCTGTGGGGATATCTCCTCATACTAAAACCTGAATATTACTATGCTCTTGGTAGTATGTCGGTAAACATTTCCCGACTTTCTTCACAACAAGTTTTCTTCAAGTTTAGCATAGTTCCACTAATGGATTCACCCTCTTTTACTTCTTGGATCACTTTCGTGGATTGAAATAATACGTGTCCATTTGATGGTTAGTCTTATCTGATTCGTCTCGAATAGGCTCGTAGCCAAATCTCAGACATTTTCAGATCATCTGAGTGTCTCTTCGAGTTTCATCCAGTTACTTTTTCGCATTTGTAAATGGCCATGCCATTCTTGGGAGTTCTTGGTCGTCATTGCAAAGAACCGGCAGTCTGTCATTCTGCGCCATAGAAGTATCCAATCGATCAGCGGGCTATGTGAGATTCATTGATTATGAGACAAAGCAAACTATGCATCTTGCGAAGTGGAACGAAGTTAAAAGTGGAAACGTTGAACTTTAGTCACTTGGGTGCAGCCGTAGAAAGAGAATGTCAGTTGGGTTGTTTGTATTTGAAGGACGATCCAAAAGTACATTCATTTGAATTTCTTCCGCTCATCATCATCATCATCATGGCCTGTGATCCAGCAGAAGTCTACACTGCTAACACTTTTGAAGATGGAAAACGTACTGCGAAATAAACTGATTGAGACCATACAGTCTATTCAATCTGGATTGAAAATCTCAGTTATTTCCGAGAACAATGAATGACACGTGAGAAGCTGTGTCATATAAGACGTCGTACTTACTTTGATGAATAGTCAACCTGACCAGCTGGATGAAACACTGATCAGTTCACTTTTAGTTTTCACAACTAGTAACCATGCCGTTTTGTGCGCCAGTTTTGGTTGCTTTCCTCTGGATGAAGTAGCAGAAGAAAGTTGAAAGGAGAGTCCAAGAAAAAATGGAGGAGTTCAATAGACTAAGGTTGCAAATAAATTGCGAAGATGCA